CCCATATCACCGTCCTTCCTATGACCGATAATTATTTTTCGGTTGATACATTTTAGTACTTTAGTGTGGTTTTTGCACAACTTAACCCTGCTTGACACTTGTGAGGTCACCAGGTCAACATGCTGTATTTTGACTGCTCAGTATAAAACTCCGACATAGTACGCCATCTTGAAAATGATGCATGACAAAGTCGTTCACTGAACAGTCAATCATTTGGACTGCCAGGACAAAGTATAATATCGAAGAGACTAATAGCAGCTCATAGACAAAGACCAAAGGGGGGGGGGGGGCAAAATTGGTTACGTGCAAACGGGGAATTGCCTTTCGTACACTTAGCGTTTAAGTTGACCCTCCAGATAGCAACACCGGAATTACGCTCACGAGTGGGCTAAACACTGGAGTGTGACAATGACAATCTTTATTCATGTCACAGAGAGAAATTGTCTTGGTCGTTAACAATGGCAGTAGGCGTTACAAAGATTAAGTGCTCTCACGCATACGCACAAGAAGTCAGGACATCAGTATGTCTCACGTGCTGGGACATGCATATGCACAAGAAGTCAGGACATCAGTATGTCTCACGTGCTGGGACATGCATATGCACAACAAGTCAGGACATCAGTATGTCTCACGTGCTTGGACATGCATATGCACAACAAGTCAGGACATCAGTATGTCTCACGTGCTGGGACATGCATATGCACAAGAAGTCAGGACATCAGTATGTCTCACGTGCTGGGACATGCATATGCACAAGAAGTCAGGACATCAGTATGTCTCACGTGCTGGGACATGCATATGCACAAGAAGTCAGGACATCAGTATGTCTCACGTGCTGGGACATGCATATGCACAACAAGTCAGGACATCAGTATGTCTCACGTGCTGGGACATGCATATGCACAAGAAGTCAGGACATCAGTATGTCTCACGTGCTGGGACATGCATATGCACAAGAAGTCAGGACATCAGTATGTCTCACGTGCTGGGACATGCATACACACAAGAAGTCAGGACATCAGTATGTCTCACGTGCTGGGACATGCATACACACAAGAAGTCAGGACATCAGTATGTCTCACGTGCTGGGACATGCATACGCACAAGAAGTCAGGACATCAGTATGTCTCACGTGCTGGGACATGCATACACACAAGAAGTCAGGACATCAGTATGTCTCACGTGCTGGGACATGCATACACACAAGAAGTCAGGACATCAGTATGTCTCACGTGCTGGGACATGCATACACACAAGAAGTCAGGACATCAGTATGTCTCACGTGCTGGGACATGCATACACACAAGAAGTCAGGACATCAGTATGTCTCACGTGCTGGGACATGCATACACACAAGAAGTCAGGACATCAGTATGTCTCACGTGCTGGGACATGCATAATATGCACAAGGAAGTGAACACTTCAAAACACAAGGAAATTCCCAACAAGCATACATTAATCTCCTTGACGACTTTGCACGACTTGTCGTCGTAAATGTTTCGATCAAACAGGGGCTGGTCAGGTCATGTTGTGTTGTACAGTGTACAGTTTGGTGGTTTGGTCAAAAGACACTGTTCTGGATTTTATTATAAATCATAAATTATAAATTGCATTTTATTGATTCACGTGGGGAAATTTGGGTTACAATGGTAAACATGCAAACATAAATACATAATTATAAATCTAAACATACATAAATGCATACATAAATACTCACACATATTAACACACATTGTTATACCAATACTGAACAATGTCACAAACTTGCCATTGTTGGTCTCCACTGTGCAGCGCCCTGTTTTTTTAGCCCCCCCCTCCCATGACCACCTATCTGATTCCCGTGTCACTGCCACTTGCTTGATATTAGTTTTCAGTTTAAACTCACTACTCACTTAGGCTGACCACTGGAGCTCCCCAGTGATCCATTAAAGATATTCTGTAACACATCTTAAGCCAAAGCTTGAGACCACTTTGCTTACCGCAGGTATAAAAGTTATGTTTCCACTGATATGCTAAGCTGGTTATGTATAATGTCTGTTGAACCAGTTCTGTGAAATAAGTGACTTTTAAAGTACAGGATTATTTGTGGTTTAAATACGGGGTGATCCAAAAAACCCTGTACAACTTGTTTTGTAAATATCTTCCGCCATACTAAAGTTTGGCGTTTCAGATTTGAACACAACATTTGGAAGCCAAAAGGAATTTGTCTGATATTCGTTTCAGATAAGTCCATTGAATGGTTTTTCTCTATACGGAGCATAAAAAACAACCCATTTTCAACCTTGTCGCCATTTCCATAGCATGACGTTCCAGTTCACAATAGGCCTACCACTAAAAGCTGCTTCAATCGCGCCATATTGCAAATTGCAGCAGTCAACAGAAGTCTGAAGATATTATTTTTCCCAAATTTTGTTTGCCTACTGAGATCATGGTTATGTTTAGTAAAGAGCTGAGAACTTTTTGTATTGAACATTACCTTGCCACTAACCCACCATCCTTAACATTTCGTAAATTCTGCGCAGGGCATGGAACGGATGCTTAGGTGTCCTCAAGACCTTTGGTGTCATGAGTTGAGAAGTACTGTCAGTTTGGATCTATAGCGAATCAGAACTAAAATGTCCTTTAAAATGACCACTTCAGGCCGAACACGCACCATGTACAGCCCTTTAAGCGTCACTAGGGTGCAGATGATTTCAGTAGTCGAGTCCCATGCGACATCTGTCCGTAGACGATCTGCAACTAGGACTTTCCTACACCTCAACAGTCTGCATTCTCATGGAAGATCTTAACCTATGACTGTACCATTTTCATCTTCGCTAGGCCGAGATGACATGGATCAGAGCCTGACAATGTTTTCATGATTCCTCGATCATTTCCTCGGGATCATTTCCTCGATGACATTTGGTTTAGTGCAAAGCCCATTTCCACCTTGCGGGATATGTTGACTCCAGAAATGCTGTTTATTTGGCACCCCACTCCCTATTGTCTCTAGAAGCCACTCCACACTGAATATGTACAATGAATGTTGCTTAAAACACTCAAGGTTTAACAGGTTCTTGTGTTTGGGCGCCATTGAACATTTCGAAAGATGTGTTAAAAATGTGTCGAGTCCAAAGGAGGGCCCGTAGAGCGCTGCTTCTAGGAATTCCAAAATGAAATCGTTAATTTTTCAAACTCTGTAAAAGAAATTAAATGTTATTTAAATGTCACAGGAATGGAAAATTAAATGTAAAAGAGAAAATAAAGAAAAAGTCAACCAATGTTTCCACAACGTCCTTAATTACCAAGATTTTAAAATATTGGTTAAATTTGCGTTTTGGGTGCTTTTTTCTATAAGCCATTTCCCGTTTTCAAAAAATGGTTCTTCTTCGTGGATTTTACGTCAAACAAATTCCTTTTAAATGAATCATATCTGTTCCAAATTACAGCATTCTAGAGCAATTTTTGTGCGAAATATTTTTTAAAAAAGTTGTACTGGGTTTTTCGGATCACCCTGTACATCAGATTGGAGACTCCCAAAACATAATTCTTGCAAAGAAAGATCAACATAAGGCAGAAAAGCGGTTAAGTGGGTATTTTTGGAATATTTTTAAGTTTTAGAATGGCTTCGGAAATGACTTGGGGAACTTGGAGGAGGGAGGAGTGAGGGGGAAAGGGAGGAGGTGAGTGTAAAGAATGGGAAAGGGAGGAGGTGAGTGTAAAGAATGGGAAAGGGAGGAGGTGAGTGTAAAGAATGGGAAAGGGAGGAGGTGA